CTCGGCCTCCCAAAGTGCTGGGATTACAGGCTTGAGCCACCGCGCCCGGCCGAGACCCCCATCTCTATAAAAAAATTTTTTTAAATCAGCTGAGTGTGGTGGCATGTGCCTGTCTTCCTGGCTACTCAGGAGACTGAGGTGGGAGGATTTCTTGAGCCCAGAAATTCAAGGCTGCAGTGAGCTGTGATTGTGCTACTACTACACTCCAGCCTGGGAGACAGAGTAAGATCCTGTCTCAAAAAAAAAAAAAAAAAAAAAAAGTTATGCAGCAAATGAAAAGTAAACCTAGAATATATCACATGATTTTGTTGCAAATAGTATTTGGTATAATCATAGTAAATACCAAATGTTGATCTAACCAAAATATTTTGAGAGGTTGAGGTGGTGATCAGAAAATGTCATGCTTGGAGGGCAGGTATATGTATATAAAAAATAAAGAGAATCACATCTGCCATAATGTCTCAACTGAAAAATAGCAGTGTAAGTATATAATTTTAAAGATATAGATGTAGACACCAAAAGAATCAGCTGAAGAGTTGAAAGTGGCCTCCTGTGGGGTGGGAGAACTAGAGTAGCTATTCTTTTCTGTTATTGAGCTCCATAATCTTATTTGTCAACTTAAGCTACAATAAAAAGTAAAACTTGGGGCCAGGTGTGGTGGCTTACACCTGTAATCCCAGCATTTTGGAGGCCGAGGTGGGCGGATCACGTGAGGCCAGGAGTTTGAGACCAGCCTGGCCAACATAGCGAAACCCCGACTCTACTAAAAATACAAAAAGAATTAGCCAGGTATGGTGGCACATGCCTATCATCCCAGCTTCTGAGGAGGCTGAGGCACAAGAACCCAGGAGGAGGAGGTTGCAGTGAGCTGAGATCACCCCACTGTACTCCAGCCTGGGCGACAGAACAAGACTCTGTCTCAAAAACAAACAAAAGTAAAACTTAAAAAAAACTAGGGAAAGAGACCAAAATTTCAAATTGGGATAATTCTGTGTGTGTGTTTGTTTTGTTTTGAGACGGGAGTCTCGCTCTGTCACCCAGGCTGGAGTGCAGTAGTGCCATTTCGGCTCACTGCAACCACCACCTCCCGGGTTCAAGTGATTCTCCTGCCTCACCCTCCAGAGTAGCTGGGACTACAGATGTGCGGCCCCATGCCCCATTAATTTTTTTTTTTTTTTTTTTCTTTTTTTAGATGGAGTTTCGCTCTTGTTGCCCAGGCTGGAGTGTAATAGCACAATCTCAGCTCACCGCAACCTCCACCTCCCAGGTTCAAGCAATTCTCCTGCCTCAGCCTCCCAAGTAGCTGGGATTACAGGCAT